CACACACACACACACACACACACACACACAGATTACATATTCTTATAACCATATCACATGTCGATTGCTTATGACGATGTGGTTGGGAAGGTGGGCCGTATTTGAAGACGTCTTTGCCGTCTTACGACAGAAGTGGCACCCACTACCCAACCGTGTTGAAAAGCGGGATTTTCCTTTCGCAACTTTGTTAATATCGCATGATGTTTATGCATATCTGCCTGTGCGAGTCTGTGTGATACTGTAGGAATACTGTGTGATTCTGTCTCTCTCTCTTTCTCTCTCTCTCTCTCTCTCTCTCTCTCTCTCTCTCTCTCTCTCTCTCTCTCTCTCTCTCTCTCTCTCTCTCGTGAGTGTTGGTGCGGTTAAAGGACTGCAATGATGTGTCCACAATGACCACAACTCAGAACTCTGCCGCAGGGTGTTGTGGCTCATTGGCAGGTGGATAAAATATAAATGGAAATGAGCATCATGAGAGGCAGTGGTATGTCTGGAAAAGCGGGATTCCACTTTTCGGTGCTCAATTAGGAATGGAACACTGAACGTGTGTTTTTATTGTTGTGTTTGTGGTAGCGAGGCAGGATAAAAAACCGAACTTCGTGGAAGGACCAAGTAGTAAGTCCATTGTGCGTGCAAAGCGTTTGGCATTGTAGGTGTGAGGGCATTTCATATCCTGTATAGTCGACAGAGCAGATGACGGACGACCACATGGTGTGTGAATGCGGTCGACCTTTCAGTTCATTAAGGACATTAAACTCTCATCACGCGAGGGCATGTCCGGTGCCAACGAGTCGTAGATCAAACGATGATGACGGACAGAGCCGGGACAACGGATCCAAGGGGGAGGACGGCGCGCCGGATGGCGATGGTCTGGGAGAGAACATCGTCGACCTCGCTGTGGAAGCCGAAATGGAATGTGGTTCCGAGGAAGATCCCCCCGACGTGCGGGCGTTTGACACATCCCGCAGACTGGCTGCGATCATGTTGTCCTCTAGGGGTAGCTTAGGGATGTCACTTAACGACATCGACGCTCTTCTCTCAGTACTGAGAGATCCAAGCTTCTCGCCGCAGGAAATCGTGTACCGCAACAGCCGTGAGTTTTTACGTTGGACGAGCAGGCAGGCAGAGACGAACGGGTGGCGGGAGATAGATCTCAGAAGTGATGACTGGCCATCGGATGCACATGCCATGCTGTGGTACCGAGATTGGTGCACGACTTTGACGTCACTGCTCAAAGCAGCGACGAGGAACATGGAAACGGTGTCGTGTCTCTCCCC